ATCAAAAACAAAAAGAAAATCTACTAGAGCAGTAAAATGTATAGGTAACCCTAACTATTTAATCCTGACCCCGTAATTTTCCTCATTTTGTCTTGGTAAAACAGCTAATAATCTTTGGGAATTGGTGACTTGAAAATGAGCACTCACTTGTGCTTGTTTCAGTTTATCGTATATATTTCTTGCCTCCTTTACCACTTCTCATCCCTCAGAAGTAATCTAGTGAACTCAATTTGAGTATATACTTGAGTTGCAGCACACAAAGGTTTTAATTCTCCAATCTGAATTGCACACAAAATTGCTTTGCCAATCAGTTGCCATAAATTGAGTATTATATGAGAAGTTTAAACAGTAAAGTTTTTACTTGTTTTGTTTTCTATATGTTTTTAAACTAAAGTAAACAAATCCATTATTTCAACTTAGAAATTATTGTAGAAACAATGTGTTCTGTATTATAATGAAAATGAGATAGCACTAGTAATTTTATTAAGCTGTGTTTACAGTGACCTGATGATTATCTAATTATTTAAGATATGTGAGCCCTAATTTCAAGACAGTGTGAATTGCAATGAATTTTAGATGTCCTTCAAGATAGGGAGGAGAAACTTAGATGACTTAAATGTATCTAAGACATGCCATGGAATGTAATTGACATTGCAAATCATATTTTTAAAATGATTTCTGGACTCCTGAAAAACTTGAGCTTCACAATATATTGAAAGCTCATGAGATAGCCATTTGAGAACAACTGTGATAAAATCTCCACTTAAAAAACATATCCAAGAATTTCCAAAATGGGTTTGAAGCATTCTACTGCTAGCAATTAATCTGTAAGATATTTTTCAGTGTTTTGGAGCACCAGATTTTTATTATAGCATTATTCTGTTAAAAAGAGTGATAAGAAAAAAAAAATCATCAGGAAAATAATGTAATTTTTTCTTGAAAAGATAGATGACCATTTTGCCTTAATGGCCTTCAAATAATCAAGATGTTTTTATAATACTTGATACCCTTTCAAGGTGTATTTACTCACCTTATCCTGGTAGGCAAGAGTTGGAAACCTGTTTTGCCTGATGAGTTTTTCTTTTGCCAGATCTTGGTGAGTTTGTATGATTGTCCTGCTCTGGGAGTTTCTTCACCTGTAGTTTATGCTGGTGGTGGCCTAGAGAGGCACCTCTGCACTGAAGAGTAACTGAATGAAGGACTGTAACTCAGTTATTCCTGAAGGATGTCCTCACTGGGTCCCCCCTGTACGTTCTCTTGTGGGTGGAGAGGGCAGGAGAAGGGTAGGGAACAGAGGAACATTCAAACATGACCGCTGAATTTACTAAGGCCAAAGTCTTCTCCTCTCTCTCTATGAAAGTACTAGAATCCAATGAAATGGAAGTAACATCTAAAATAAATTCTGAATTTGACAATAAGCGTAGACAATTTATATGAGATTTCAGAAAAGTTTGTAGCAAAGCAGTGCACAATGATAATGAACAATGATAACTGCTGAGATTGAACCTCCTTTTGGTTCTCTCTTGGAGATGCTGTCTTCCTGCTTTTTTCTTTTCCTCAATAAAAAATGTTTATGGACACCTGTTGAATGCTGGATGCCAAAGGTGGTGAACAGACTAGAAACAATGTCTGTCTTAGAGAACTTCAGTTGAACAAAGAGTACTGATAAGTAGTTAGATCTGTACAGATCTGTACATGGGATAACGATAACTTCTACAATAGGGAAGTATTATAGAAGCTTTGGGAGCACCTAAAGTGGCCTCTTAACTCAGACTGGAGGGACAGTGTCAACTCAGAATTAAAGGATGGGTGGGAACTAGCAGAAGTGTGGGTATTTCAGGCAGAGGCAACAGCAGGAACAAAGACCCGTGGAGGCAGGAGAAGCACACTGGAGAGCTGGAGCTTGGAATTGTGTGTGGCTGGACAGCAGTGTAGCCAGGGTAGGGAAGGGTAGGGAGAGAAGGTAGATGACATTTGTGGCTTGGCTAAGGAGTTTGGACTCTCCGTATATGATGTGTGTGAACTGTTTAAGGCTTCTGAGTGGGGACATACAGTGATGAGATTTGCATTTGAGAACGTCATAGTTTGGAGAAGAGCAAGACTTGGGTGAGGAGACAGTTAGGAGGACTAATACAGGTGACAGGTGACAGTGATTTCCTGCTGGGGCGTTTAGTGGGGGTGGTGGGAGGTGAGTTGAGAGATTTAGAAAGAGTGCTCAGGAGCACCTGGGTTGTGTTACCTCTGTATTTTTTTCTTTTCTCTTTCCCCTGCCCTTGTTTGTTTTCCCTCATCTATCTCCATGTTCTGTAGTGTCTTTTGCTTCCAGTTGTCAATATGTTGACCTCTATTTCTTCATTCCTTGCTCACATAATGTATCTTATCCTGCTCATTGACTTTTTAAAATTCAACTTGATTGAGGCATAATTTACGTACAATAAAGGCAGACAATTTAAGATACAGTTCAGTGAGCTTTGAAAAATATATACCCCTGTGTATATATCACCACGACAATCAGCTTATAGAACCTTTCCTTCACTCCAAAAGGTTCCTTTGTGCCTCTTAGCTCCCACTCCTGGCCCAGATAGCCACTGATGTGCTTTTATTAGTGTAGATTATATTTGTCTTTGCTTGAGTTTTATAGGAATGCTTTCATACACTGTGTACTCTTGTGTCTGGCTTCTTTCTTTCAGTATGTTTCTGAAATTCAGCTCGATTTTTGTGTGTACTGTTAGACCATTCCTTTTTAATTCATGGATATTAGTTCAATTTATGGGTACAGTCATCCCCCAGTATCTGAGGGAGATTGGTTCCAGGATGTCCCCCTCCTCGGATACCAAAATCCTTGAATGCTCAAGTCCCTTATGTAAAATGACGTGGTATTTGCATATAATCTGTGCACATCTTCCTGTATACCCTAAATCATCTCTAGATTACTTATAGTACCCTAATACAATGTAAATGCTGTGTAAATAGTTGTTATACTGTATCGTTTAGGGAATAATGACAAGAAAAAAGTCTGTACGTGGTCGGTACAGATGTAGCCGTCACAGGCCTTTCAGTCCACACTTGGTGGAACCTGTGGATACAGAACCTGCAGATACGGAGGGCCGACTGTATACCACCACAGTTTGTTTCTCCATTCACCGACTGACCTGCCCTTTGACTTTTCAGATGTCTTCCCTACTGAAGAGGTCTCTGTGTTTTTTGCTGGCTGGAACATAGTATTACAGCTTTTTTTTTTTGACATTAAAATACTTTGCTAAATTACTGATATTTTTGAATAGTTTTTCATTCCTGCCTCTAAGTTTTTAAAGTGGCCAGATCAGTTTATCATCTTCTCAAAACGAAAACAAGCACTTTTACAGTGAGTTATCTTGAATTAGTAACCCTCGACATACTAAATGCCCCTGTTCCTCTTTTATATTTTTATGTTCAGCTTTTACATGAGTTTGGACAGAAAGATCTTTATGATACAGTAAGGTTATCACATTAAGTGATTTTATATGCTTTTTTATTTTTTGTTTTCTACATAAAGTGGCAATTAAAGATCTCTGGCAAGTAAATGTCCTATAGGATAATGTCAGCAGCCTTGAAGCCAGGCTTTAATTAAGGTGCAGTTTGACTTTTTAAATATTTTCTTCTATGTGTAATTTTCATTAGTAGACTAAATGGCTAGTTTGCAAAATTATAATAGCCAACAAACAGTGTGTAAGGGAAAAAACCCGTTAAGTTTGTGGTCTTGGGTTGTGATTCAAGAACTACAGCCATAACTAACTTAATAACAAGAAGATTGAATGAGGACTTGTCATCTCACAACGTTATTTTGACATTACGTAATGACCTTTCTGTAACAGCACCTTTTATTTTTAAAAATTCCTCACGGGCACTATTGATATGATAGGGCAATGTAGAGATGTCAGTTTTGTGGCTCCAGAGATCTACTACGCATTTTGTAAACGTTATTTCAGTTATATTTTGGCAGTAAAGAGAGCAGGAAGATAATGCTTCCATTAAAGTGATCAACTACGCATGTAGAAATTGGGTAGGAAGATGTGTGAAAAGGCCTCTGCTGCGTATATGACTGTCTTATAATGCTTTGGGTTAATTCAGCAAGTATAGCTCTGGAATGGTGTTTGTGCATACTGATCTTCAAGACGGAAGTGTATCCATTGCTTTATACGTCCCTGTGCTGCTCAGCTGTTATAGTGCATTAATCCACTCTTTTTTCTCCCAGCCTTTTTACTGTTTTCTTAAGCAGTTGTGTAAAACTTTAATTAACTTTTACTATTTCAGCTCTGTTTTATTTTCCATTCTCAAAACAGTTATTGTAAGTAAAAACAAAAACTCATTTGTGCTCACCTGCTACTTGGAACAATGTGTCTTCATGCTTCAGAGCATTAGTATTTCAATACTAACATTGACTAAAAGTGAACCATTGGAGAAACTTCATTATTTTTCAAATACTTTTGTTATGATCTTGTCTGAGTACATTTAAAATTTTATATTATAGTGAAATTCATTTTATTTTATTTTATTCTTTTTGGTGAGGAAGATCAGCCCTGAGCTAACATCCATGCCAATCCTCCTCTTTTTGCTGAGGAAGACTGGTCCTGGGCTAACATCTGTGCCCATCTTCCTCCACTTTATATGGGACGCCGCCAGAGCATGGCTTGACAAGCGGTGCATTGGTACGTGCCTGGGATCCAAACCCAGGCCTCTAGCAGCGGAGCGTGTGCACTTAACCGCTATGCCACGAGGCCAGCCCCATGAAATGCATTTTAAATCATACACTATTCTATAATAAATACTTTTACTTTTAGAAATTCCACATGGAAATTTTAAGCAGCAATACTTTCTCCTTGATGCATTATTTTCCTTTAACATACTTCAAAGTGCTTCTGTATATCAGAAATACGTGGGTTTTTGTTTGTTCCCTGTGCCTATCAATTCTCATTGCCTCCTTCTTGTTTTTTCTCCTGACTTTTCATCTGCATTCACAGATTTTCTCCTCTGATGCTCCTCTTCAGCCTTTGGTATCCTCTCCTCTACAAGCTGCTGCTGAGAAAAACAAATTAGAGGTATGAGTGTTGTAGCAAGCCACATTATGTAGTGCTTGGTGGTAAACGATCTTCTTTTCACAATGTGCCATAATTTGAGAGTGCTGTAATAGTTGTTTATATGAAATATGTTAAATACAACAATTTCTAGACTATTTTCCTGTGCCACAGGTAGGATTACAGGGCTTTAATCTATATTTAATTTCAGAATGACTGATTTATTGGTACCATAGATAGATCTCAACATTTAAGAAGCAATTAGTGTTTTGTTGTTTTCATTGCTACCTTATACTTGCAGGAACTTTTTTATAGTTGCTTTTGAATTCTTTTGATTTATTAGGAAAGTCTTTGATTAAAAATGTTTTCTTTCTTTGATTCTGTTGTTATAAGCACTTGAACAAAGTTCGTATCAAGTTTGGTTTTTTAAGCAACAGTAACCATCATACAGATACAGTGTGTGTAGTATAGAAGCATCAATGGTAATTGTTAGAATGTGTTTGGGGTAGGGGTGGTCAGGGTGCAAGATGCTACCATTATGGGTATTTAAAGTCATCCCTACAGATATTTGGGGGTTTTAATTTTTTTGACTCTACCTTTTTTCTTTTGTTATAATGACCTTAATGAATTAGTTTGAGACATTCTTTCAGGCAACACTTTTTCTCTGTCTGCTCTTTGGTAAATGGTGTGCTAGACATGGGGGATACAAAGACAAAGAAGATATAGCCCTTGCCATCAAGGAGCTTGTAGTCTGGTGGAGGAGCAGAGACCACTGTACAGAGGTGTCTCCTGCTGTGTGCCCTGTGCTGTGGTGGACGTCCACTCCCTGTGCTGTGTCAGTACAGGAGCATGCGTGTTAGTGAGAGTGGTCAATCACGCTGCTTTTCTCACTAAATTTGACTGATATATCTGGAAAACATTTTATAGTATGGAAAGGATTTTTGCACATCTCGTTTATTCTTCACTTATAAAGTGAGGATAATATTAGCGACCTCATGAAGTGGTTGTGAGGATTAAATGAGTTAGAACAGTGTCTGGTCATAGAGTTCAGTAAATACTGGCTGCTGTGAGGAAGAACAGCACCATGATGAGTAACTGTGCTCCACTGATGGCAGTGAGTAGAGATTTGAGAGCTCGGCTCTGTAGCCCTCGGCCCTGTCGCTGGTGAGCTGTGTTGCTTTGTGCATTACTTTCCTAAGATTTTGTTTCTCCGTTTGTAAAACGACAATGATGCCTTTTTTTAATGACAGTTATTGTAAAAATGAAATTAAACAACAAGGTGCTCATCACAGTGCCTCGCCTGTAGGAACTTTTATTCCACCTCTTATGTTATAGCCTAGGAATTGCCAATGTTATCTTTCCTGATTTACAAATAGCAAAATGTCTGTTCTTGAGAGAGGTTATGTCGAGCGCCATGTTAAAGGCACAGGTGCAAACGCAACCTTTGGGCATTTGGGCTGAGTTTTGTGTGTTTATTATTCTGCCTTTCCTAGTTTTATCAGTTTGCCTTTTCATGTTTGTGGCCATGAAACTGAGGTTTGGGTCAGTGCTCAGTTGCAGTAGCCATCCTATTCTAGGTTTCTAGTATCTCTTCCCTCTAAATGCATGATGAATACTCTTTGCTTAATCTTTATTTCATATTCCTTTTTTGACATATGTGTGACCCTTAAGTTTTTAATATTGTATCTTGTTTCATCCTTCTTGGAAATGCAAACTGTGAACATCATAATACCATTATAGTTTACCCAGACTGGATTAAATTAGATACACTAACTAGTCAGTTGGCTCTGGTCCCCAAGCATCTTTAACATTTTTTTCATGAGAAAATTATTGTATTTGCCTTTTTTATTATCACAACACTATAGTAATGGACCAAAACTGTTTTGTGATATTTTTAAAAATTAAAGTGATTTTATTCTTTTTTTCTCCTGTTTACATGTTATAATCTGTCTTCATCTGTGTGATGAGGAATTCTGTTCCATCAGTTAGTTTACTTCTTATTCAAATTTCAACTTCATGGTTGCTATTAGGAAGCTGTACGTAAAGATGCAGTGAGAATTTATTGAATAGAGGTCTCATTTGTTTAAAGCAAACTCTAAAGTATCAAAAAAGTTCTAAACTGTCTCACCTCTGTCTTAATTTTTTTAATGAAAAAATGTGTTATCAATATATAAGCTCAGTGAGAGTATGAATTTTCTATGTGTACTTTTATATTTCAGTATAACTGGATATTGCCATCATTGAATATTTGTACCTTTCTCAAGGTGACTCAAACTAATAAAATAAAAATGTGTTAAGAGCTGACATTTTTTAAAAAATAAACTCATTAAAACTTTGGGCTATATTTTAGAAAGAAAAGGAAAAAAAAAAAGAAGAGAAAAGGAGAGAAAAGGAGCCAGAAAAGCCTGCAAAACCTCTTACAACTGACAAGGTAAAATTCCTTTTTTTTAAATCTATAAAGATTACCATTTTATTTGTATACTTATGTTTGAGTGACTTTTGGGATATTTATGATATGCAAATAGTCATTCTTTCAACAAGTATTTGTTGAGTGAATACTGACTGCTAAGCATATCCTTCTAGCTTGTTCTATACGATTTGTAATCAGTTACATTTGTGTGCGTAGAGATCATGTGAGTTCCTCAAGGACAAGTGTTTTCTTATTAATGACATAAAGAATGGTGTTTTTAGCTTTCATGCACAGTGAGACTTCAGTGAAAGCTTAGGGAATGAAGTGATCATACTTGAAGGGGCCTTCAAAAAAGACTCCATGCTTAAGGTTAGCATTTGAGCTAGATTTTGAAGTGTGGGTAGGATTAAGGTGGAAGGCTAGAGTGTATCAGTTGGAGAGAACACCTTGAGGACAGATGTGGAAACTAGGAATAGACAAACTATGTTTAGAAAAACAGTGAGTAGTGGAGTTTGAAGAAAGGTATGAGTCTATGTGTAGATAGAAAGTAGTGAAAAATGAGACCAGAATGGTAGATTGAGCTCAAATTATAGAGGACCTTAAAATTCACATTGATTATTTTTTGGGGGAAACGCTGTGAGCAGCATTTCAAAGTTTCTAAAGCAGATGATACACCTAATTCAAAAGGGTTCTTCTGGAAGGTTATTTGGCAATGATATGCAGGAGAGATGTGATTAGGCCAACTAGAGGTAGAGAAAACATCACATTTTTGTAAAGGGGTTGGTTAAATAATTATCGCGGCTTGGCTTTGGGTGCATTTCATCATACAAGTATAGAAGCATGGTAAGGGAATTGTCAGGAAAGGGAGCAACCTTGACTTGAGTTGTTGAAATTTTAAAAATTGACTTTATCAGATAAGGCATAACTTACATACTACAAAGTACATCCCCCATTTAAAGTGTACAACACAAGTGTATGCTGGTTCTTTCTCTGTCATTTATTAGAACAATCTCTATCTTTAAAGAGTTACAGACATGCCGCGGCACTTCAGATGTACTGAGTACAGCACTGTTCAGTCCTTCACGAGGCCATCTGACTCTTTGCCTCCCTGCCTAGCATTCTCCCTTCCTTCTTCATAGCAGTCAGACTTGTCCATTCTCACCTAACATACTTTCCGTCTCTCTGTTCACTAAATTGCTGTGCCGAGAATGTCCTTTCCTATCCCTGACTGTTACCTGAAGCTGACTCAGTCCATGTTTTTCATGAAGCCCCTCTAAGCATCCCACCTAGACTCGAGTTCTCCCTTCCTCAAAATTCTGACATTGTCATACATTTGATTTGATTACTTCCTGCCTGGTAGCATTGTTTCATTGTATTGTTAGATAAATTTCCTTACCTAACACAGGTGCATAGGTGTTTTGTTTCCTGAGATTGTGCATCAATCAGGTGGAAACTAAGTCATGCGTTTCTTTGTATTTTTTGACAGTTTCTTGTGTGTGGTAGATGTTTAGGATAAATACATGTACATTGATTCATTGATGTTTTTCGTCTTGTAATTTCTGTTAGTGTCTTGATTCCAAGGTCATGCAGAACAATTAATAAACTGCAGTTTATTACTGATTAATTTATTAAATACCAAAGACTATAAATTTAACCACTTTTAAAACATCTTATATTTTATCTCTTTAAAAGAATATTTTACCATTAAAATATGGTGAGCATTTGATGTAGTGACCGTGTGTGTTTCACAGCCTTGCATGTAAATCCTTGCCTTCTGTTGCCTGGGGAAGGGGGCCACAACAGCTACCTGAGAACCGAGTCGGTCCTGGCTGGGGAGCTGGAGGAGAGCAGTTCAGGGGTGTGAGCAGTGAGGGGTCGAGCACTTTCCCTCACTGTTTCCTTTCAGTGAGGAGGTTTTGTTAGATCCTGTTCACGCCTCGTCTCTTGTTCTTGCTCATCCTGCAGAGGTTCAGGACTCCTGCTGCTGCTTGCTGAAGAAGTACTCACATGGAGGGAAAAACTGTAGTTCCTCTCAAAATCTGTGGTCAACATCATGCAGAGTGTATAAGAAGAATGTTTAGAAGTATAACAGTGGGGAAACTGAAAGAAAATAGCACAAATAAAGAAGCTTTACCTCACATATAGGCATTTTTCTTATGTTCTCTCTGAGCTGATATTTTCAAGAGGCATATATTAGTAGTATATATATATTTCATATACATATATTACATATATATTACAGAGGAGAAATTAGTAGTGATACCAGTGAAAATAGTAGCAATAACAATATCATCAGAATGTATCATCATAGTCAGATGTCAGAATAATATCATCATCCTAAGTAAGAGTTGGCTTTGACCGTCTGCTGGTTGCCAGGACGGTGCTGGTGCACAACTTGCGTGTGTGGTTCTGCATGTAGAACTTAGCGGTAAAGTGACTACCTATCTATGTATTTCCTAAGTTAGCAGCTAGAATGGGGCCAGCACACAGAAGCTGCACCCTGCCCCCTATTCCCCATCCAAAATCAGTTCCCTTCTCCCCAGAAATAATCATTTCCTTGCAGGTTAGAAGTAAAGTTTGCCTTCTCCACATGTCTTTCTAAATAATGTGGTTTTTCTCTGTTTTTTGAACATATGAATGAAATGATACCACAGATGTTCTTTTGTGTTTTGCTTTTTCTAGTCAGCATTTTGTTTGTAAGGCTCAATTGTGTTGTATATGTAGTTACAGTTTATTTAGTTAAGTATGTTGTAGTATTCCATTATATATATGTTCCTCATTTTATTTATCCATTCCACTGTTGGTAAACATTGGGATTGTATCCAGGCTTTAGCTGTTGTAAGTAGTGCTGCTATGAACACTATTGTATATGCTTCTAAGCATGCATTCCTTTAGGATGTACTTTGGAGTGGAATTGTTGGATCACAAAGTACCTGTATCTTGAACTTTACTAAATAATGTCAAACTTATTTTCCAAAATGTATACCAAATGTATTCTGGTCATGTCATTCTTTACAACATATGATATTGTCAGAGGTTTTATTATTTGCAGTCTGGTGGGTATGTAATGGTATCTCACAATATTTTAATGTTTAATATTTAACTGGTTTTAATGGACATTAAAATTGCCCATTTGGATTTTCTCTTTTGGAGTTCTGATTCAGATCTTTTGCTTCTTTTTCAGTTGGATTGCTTACCTTTTCCTTATTGATTTGTAACAATCTCTACACTTACACAGATACACACACACGTAGAGGATACTAGTCCTTTTCCAGTTACATGTTTGTGAATATCTTATCTCTGTGACTTTATTGTGGCTGATTTTATTGCTCTTTTTTTGCTCTTTTTATTTCTGGTTTGTGAATTGGTGATAAAGGGCATCCTTGTCTTATTCCTGACATCAAAGGGACGCTTTCAACTTTTCACCTGAATGTGTTCTTTCTTCCTCACAAAAACTACGAGGTTGTTGTTGGTGGTCTCATTTTATAGATGGAGGAACCAAGATTCAGAGAGAATAGATGATTTGCCTAATGTCCCCTAGTTTAGTTAGAGAATTTATGGAGTCTGGTTTGGAAGAGTAAGGATTTTATTTATTTTTTTAAGGCAGCACATTGAACGCCATATCATATCTCTTCGCATGTTTAAAAGAATGATGCTTGATAGGGGTTACTCATTCTAGAATACTTTTTCTAAGCCCACTTATTTCTACAAATAATTGAAGTCATTAGTATGGTTCTTGACACACAGCAGTGACTTAATAAATGGTTACTTAAAAATATGTTAATTTGGGGGTTGGAGGGAACCTTACTACTCCAGGACAAATCCTTTATTTTATAAGGAGGTAAACTAAATCCTACAAGGACCCCCAAGTCACTAAGTCATGACTTTCTTAGTGTTAACAGTTGGTAGCAGCTCAGGGATTTGAACCCAGGTCTTCTGATTTAAGTGTCAAGCTTGTGTGTGTGTCTTCAGGATCCTTTCTTGTTGCAATTTTTAGTTCTGTTGTACATTCTACATCATTTTATAATGAACTGTCCAGGGTTCCCTAAAAAACAACTGTGTGTTAAATATAGCCCCATCTCATACCATCATAGCTAGTGAATTAATAACTTTTACTGATTTGTAAGCTTCCAGTAGGGACTTCTTCCTTCTGTAAATAATCTAGTTTCTTTGCTCAGTCTACTACTTTTCTTTTTCCCAAGTGTTTTAGTGAGGTCATCATGGTTTATAACATTGTGTAATTTCAGGTGCACATTATTATTTATCAGTTTCTGTATAGACTGCTTCGTGCTTACCACCAATAGTCTAATTTTTATCCTTTACCCCTTTATGTGCCCCTTTACCCCTTTCGCCCACCCACCAACTCCCTTACCCTCTGGTAAGGACTAATCTGTTCTTTTTATCCATGTATGTATCTTCCACATATGAGTGAAATCATGCAGCGTTTGACTTTCTCTGTCTGGCTTATTTCGCTCAACATCACACCCTCAAGGTCCATCCATGTTGTTGCAGATGGGACGATTTTGTCTTTTTTATGGCTGAGTAGTATTCCAGTGTGTGTGTGTGTGTGTGTGTGTGTGTGTGTGACATCTTCTTTATCCATTCATCAGTTGAAGGGCACTTGGATTGCTTCCACTACTAGAAGCAGCTGGCTACTGTGAATAATGCTGCAATGAACATAGGGGTGCATAAGTGTCTTCGCATTGTTGATTTCAAGTTCTTTGGATAAATGCCAGTAGTGGGATAGCTGGATCATATGGTATTTCTGTTGTTAATTTTTTGAGAAATCTCCATACTGTTTTCCATAATGGCTACACCAGTTTGCATTTCCACTAGCAGTGTATGAGGGTTCTCTTTTCTCCATATCCTCTCTAACGTTTGTTATTTGTTGTCTTGTTAATTATAGCCATTCTGACAGGGGTAAGTTGTCATTGTAGTTTTGATTTGCATTTCCCTAATAATTGGTGATGTTGAACATCTTTTCATGTGCCTCTTGGCCATCTGTAAATCTTCTTTGGAAA